AGCCAACCGACCCACCAACTCACTGGCCAAAGAGCCAGCAAAGGAGCTAACAAAGTAACTAAGGAGCTAGCAGAAGAGTTAACAAAAGAGCTATGGCCCCCTGGCCCACTCTCCAATTATGTACTGAGCATGACATACTATGGAATGAAATACCCCTTCAGTCAGTTTGGGTCAGCTCTCTGAGCTGTGCGTGTTCTCACGCACCGCTTGTAGCAATAAACTTGGGAACACAGAGATTATCAGAAGTTGAAAAAGTCCTTGAATTTGGTGCAAGCACTCCCCAACACCAGCTAAAAAACACCTTGTCAGTGCTATTCTCAAGGCAATTCCAAAAACATAGCTTCTTCCCAGCCATTGTGAATAAAATTAACTCTTTCCTGACTGAAACCAGCACACAAGCACAGGAGCATGCCAATTAATAGCTGAACAGCACTAACAACTATGAATTTGATCTGGCATATTCCAATCAAATCTGTCATTATCTCAAACCTTTCAAGGCCCAAGTTGTGTGCCATAAAGGACTGTTGTGATTTAACCCCACCAGCAACTAAGCACCACACAACTACTGACTCCCCTGATGATGACATAGGGGAGAGAATAGGAATAGTAAAAGTTAGAAAACTCATAAGTTGAGATGAAGACACTTTATTGAGTAAAGCAAAAGCTGCACACACAAGCAAAGCAAACCAAGGAATTCATCCACTGCTTCCCATCAGTAGGCAGGTGTTCAGCCATCTCCAGGAAAGCAGGGCTCCATCACATGCAATGGTTACTTGGCAAGAAAAATGCCGTCAGTCCAAATGTCCCCACTCCTCCTTCTTCTTCTTGGCCCAGCTTTATATACTGAGCATGATGTCATATGGTATGGAAAATACCTTTTGTCTGTTGAAGGCAGGTATCTCGGCTGTGTCCCCTCACAATCTCTTGTGCACCCCCAGTCTGCTCACTGGTGGAGTGTTGTAAGGGGCAGAAAGGCCTTGACTCCGTGTAAGCACTGCTCAGCAGTGATGAAAACATGTCTGTATTATCCACACTGACTTCAGCACAAATCCAAAACACAGCCACATACATCACAGCTACTCTCAAGAAAATTAACTTTATGCCAGCCAAAACCAGCACAATAGGAAAGATACCTACTGGCAGTACAGTAGGATCACATGAATTATAAGAAGGATATATCCTTCAACCAGTGTCATATGGGATCCGAGAGGGAAAAAAATTAAAATGCTGTTACCAAAGTATTGGAAGGATGGAAGTTGTTACACCCATGCACGTCTGTGAAGGCTGCTGGAGGTAGGTTATTTGTATAACATGTTACTTAGTTAGACTTTGGCAGCAATTTAAATATATGAATTATACATTTTACATTTGTATTTTACAGTTGGCTGTGATATAGTAATTTGTCCTTAAACAAAAGTGGTATATTTTTCTATTTTTATACAACTAGCACACATATTTGGGAATTGCTCCAATTTTTGAAGTCTGTTTGTCTTGTGTTTAGTATAATCATTTGTACTTTTCTTACAGGATTTATCCAAGAGTTTAAATACTGCCTTTTGTAGTACCTATATTTAGTAATTGTCAATAGAGGTTTCTATGTAATTACGATGTGCTTATATTTGAAAATAAACAGTTCTCTTAGAGAATCTTGTATATAAATACCTACTAAACATGTATATATGACAGACTGGTATTTGTTCATTAAAAGCAGAAAATTAATGTTTAAACAGACAGACGAAATCCCTACTTTGGTTATCCAGGCTAAAGGAAATGAGAACTTACTAACTTAAAGGACAAAATACAAAATTCCATGTAAAGTCTACCTGTACTTTGAGAAAAGTAGACATACATTCATTTAAGAACGACATTTTTGTACCTCTTAAAATTACTATTATATTTCTGGTTTTCCTATGATTTAGCATTGCCTAAAGCTTTTGGAGCATGTTAAAATATATTGACTCACACCTGTTGAACATCTTATAAGTAATTTTTAATTGGCTATTGTGTGTATAAGCATTTAAAATTTTTAAGCCTCACCTTGTTTTCTATCCAAATCCTTTCTGGCATAAACTGGTGATGCTTAGGAGAAAATAAAACTTTTGGCTACTGGGTCAGTGTATGTTTGCTTTCCCTAAGCCAGTGGTTCTTGCCTTCTCTGTCCCTGCAGAAGGCAACAGGAAGGGCTCTACAGGGTGTAAAAGTCCTCATGGGAGTGGTGAGATGTAGGAGAGTCAGAGATGCTGCATTCATGAAACTACTTGACAAATTAGGCCATGTAGTGCCAAAAACTAGAGCACTCTTGCTGGGGAAAGGGTTTGTTGTGGAACTGGGCATCGGTTTAGACACTCTGATGGCTGGCCAAAAGGTTGGCCCTCTATAACTCAAGAGCAATTTCCCTCACTTAAGAAACATTGCACAGGGTAAAATGTATCAAGAGAAAATTCAAATTCTACAACTGTTTCTAATCCTGTTCCTTTTTAGTAGGTATCTTCATTTATTGTTGTGAGGTATTTGAGAAAATTAATTGGTGTGTTGGGCAGGAGCAATTCTGTTGTCAGGACTGTACAGATGAAAAAAAAAAAGTAAACCTATGGTGGTGGAGGGACTGAAACTGGAGATCTTCTTGTGGTTTTCTTGTTATTGAGGATCCTCCTCTGTAATCTGATAGGTGAACAACAGGAATTGTGAACACAGGTATAACCTGGGATTGACATTGTAACCTGCTCTGAATAAAAACCTGAAGCTGTACAAGGAATGAACTGTTTAAAGTTTCATGTTAATCAGATGGCATGTCTGCATTTAATAGGTCAAGTAGCAACTGAGAAAATTCATAATTTTAATCAGCTTGCATTCTTTCACAGATTTTCTGACATTATGGGTTGTAATACTTCACCCCTTTGGCCTGCAGTCTTTAGTTTTCAGAAGTGTTTTTCAACAGTAAAAGTTTTCTTTCTGCTTTCTTGATATACTATATTAACAAAAAACTTTATTTTCTTGTAGGGTGCTTCGAGTGTTGCATCAAATGCCTGGGAGGTATTCCTTATGCATCTTTGATTGCTACCATCCTGCTGTATGCTGGGGTTGCGCTGTTCTGTGGTTGTGGACATGAAGCACTTTCAGGAACCGTCAACATTCTGCAAACCTACTTTGAGATGACAAGATCTGCAGGAGATGTTATTGATGTCTTTACCATGTAAGTTAATAGTTTCTTTCAATTGTTTCCTTTAAAAACTGCTGAAAAATTCCACAGAGGATATAAATTTGACTAACGAAAATGTCTTGTGATGAAAATCATAGAAAAAATTATTTGGATAAGCTCAGCAGATTAAGTTTTGACAGACCTGAGATTTCTACTGTTTACAAGCAATTTATAATATTATTAACATCCCATACTTATAATTTAATTTATTACTAAACATTACTTTGTAGAATATTGCTGGATCTTTTACATACATGCTTGTTTTATCCTTTTTATTATGTGATAATTTCTTTGCTGAAAAGTGTAAAAAATAAAAAAATAAACCTTTATAGCCCAAATAGATAAAGCCAGGAGTGTGTAACACATAACAGATTAGTTGTGGGAATAAACACAAAGAAATTGAAGAGTTGTGCAGAACCCTGAGGCATGACATGTCAAATCTCTATTGCCTCTGGTTTTCCTGGAATGCATGTGTTTTGAATGTTTGATACTTTGCTACTCTTGAAAACCTATTTCTGGAAGGACTTTTTTTTTTTTGTTGTTGTTGTTGAGCATCTCCTTCCATTTGGTAAATTAATTACATTTAACAAAGCAGTTTACTGTAACCTGGAATTAAATGACGCATTTCCTAATGTCTTTAAAATTGTCGCTTTAAAACATAATTTTCTTAGATATTTGAAATACAAATTATTATCTGGCTGCTAATGGTCATAACTAAAGCTGAAGGATCCTGTTCTCAGATTTGTAAACCTTTTCTTTCATGAATGGGTTTTGGAGAAGTGAAGTGAGTTGATCATCCATCAAAACATTGACCTCTTATGGTGGATCGTTCCATGATAATGACAGTTCAGTGCTTAGCAGTGGTCAAAAAGCAAATCAGGTATCAGGAACTACTGGGAAAATCATAGAGAAACAGAGAACATACTTATGCCATTTTCCATCTTTCATCGGTATCAATACTTTGTACAATATTCGTGCCCCAAAGGAAAATCATAGAGAAACAGAGAACATACTTATGCCATTTTCCATCTTTCATCGGTATCATTAATACTGTGTACAATATTCATGCCCCAAAGAAGGGAAAAAGGATGATTAGAGTGATAAAACAGAACCTATATGGTTAAAAATTGAGCATAGTAGGACTCTTTAAACTAAAAAGAGGGTGATTAAGAGCTGTTGGGCTAGAAGTCCGTAAGTTCACAACGTTATGAATGAGGTGTGCAGGGTTAGATTGTCTTTCTCTTCCAGCCCCAGAAGTTTGAGGTATCAGAGGAAACTAATAGGCACCAGGTTCAGAAGGCACAAGTGATGGTAGACCTGTGATGCTGGTTGCATATTGTGGATTTCCAAACTTCCATGGGTTCAAGGGAAGACTGGGTCATCTTGGAAAACAAATCCATTGACTCTTTCAAATCACATACAGACTTATCCAGCTCAGGAATTCCCAGAAGCTAAAATAGTGTGTGGGGTGATCCTGTTGACTTGCCTGCTCTTTTTTATATTAATTGTCTGAGATAGGAAAATGAACAAGATATATATATCTTGTATAGCTTGGTATATATAGATATATATACTTGGTATAGCTGTTTTCATGATAGAAACAAATCTTCTAACTTTAGTAGTGCTGTATTATTAACATCCTTCCCAAAGCTTCTCTCTGAATGTTAGCTGTGTTGTTTGTGGAACTAGTAGCCAGAAAGGAGACTGTACCAAATAAGTACCACTATGCCATACCCAATTTTTTTTCTTGGGACCAAGAAGTTTAGATGTTCTTGTATAATAATATATTAGGTTGGTGGGAAGTATGTGACTTTGCCTTTTTGGCTTGTCATTTAGAATAATGGGTCTGACTAGACTTGGCGGCTAAGGTTCATTGTTATCTTGAATGAAAGATCAGTCATTTTATTAGGTTCTTAGTCCCTAGGAAGCCATTAGTGCAGAACAGCCACAGATCGATGCTTTCTCTTCATAGGAAGTTTTCCAGCTTCCCTCCGTCAAATACTTAAGTGAAAATATCAGTCAGGAGACATAGTTTAAATGCATATAACTTACTGGAGATGATTAAAGAACTGTAAAGGTAGATTATTTCTTGACATTTAATTGTCTGTCTTAGCTAGTAGCTTTTTGATTTTTGTTTTGTTGTGGTTTGTTTCCTTAAAGATATACTTAATTTTTTCCTTGGCAGACATCCTGGAATCAAAATTTCAGTGAAAGATGCCTCTAAAGTTATTTCTTAGAGGTGGAGCAAATATTTTGACTAACAGCAGATGAGCCATTGCTTTTAACTGAGTAAACTGTGTGATTCTCAAAGAAATTTGCAGACCTTAATTTTCTGCATGCTTAAGAAGTTATTATTCTGCTCTTTAAAATAATTTGGTAGGGAGAAGAAAAGCTTGGTATTTTGTCACAAGTGTAGATTAACAGTTGGTGATACAAAAGCCCTATGGTAGTTATATTGCTTTGGATGGACAAAAAGCAGAAAGAAAAAATATGTAAGTAGAAACAAAGAGTGCAGTGTCTACATTCTTAAAACAATATATAATGAAATGAAAATAAAACCTAGTTGTTTATTGTTCTGATTAGAAATAATAAGAATTAAAACCCCAATAAATCTAGCAGTGTGCCCTACTACATTATGCTTTTTTAAGGTTATTTAAGACATTTTAGCTCTTAATGCTTCTAGTGCTGTGAAGTGTCTCAGGCTGATCTGGAGTCCGTCCTTCTGTGATAAATGTGCTAGGCAGATGCTGCAGTGGAGCAAAGTGTGTTAGACTCTGTTTAATCACGCTTGCGGTTTCTGTCTATATTTTCATTAGCACTGTCATTCAGAATAAAAATCAATCCTTGTCTGAAAGCTGCTTATGTGGGTGGTAAGAAATAAGGGCTTTTTTAACTGTGCTCACAACTGAGTTAGTCCTGAACTCAAATAACACAACTCACAAGCCTCCCTGTATCTTGTATCTTTGTTGATACAGCTACTCATTGCAATGTAAAAGAAGCAGCAGACCTCTGCGGAGCAAGTAGGCCATAAAGAGGGCATAAACCAGATCTGAAGCACTCAAGTGCCTAAAATAAAAGCCATAGTACCTAAATCCAACAAAGACATTCAGAAATGTCCATATCGACACCCCTGAGGGCACCAACCTCTCTGACTACCCCTGCTTGGCCTCCCCTCAACCTGCCCACGGTCCAGGACTCCATTTCAGCCCAGCCTTGGCCTCTCAGTCCCTCACCATGGACTCAGCCAGCCATGGGGCTGGACTGCCTTGGCTGACCCAGCTGACTCTGGCTGCCCTGCTCCCTGGCCGGGGTCGTGGGGTGGGCGCGGGCTGCCCCAGGGGGAGCCCTCATCCCAAATTGTGCCCTAATGCTTGGGGAGAGATTAATTGTTTAAGAACCTGCAGTAGGCATTGAACTCCAATTAGAGGGCTCTGCCTTTGTTGTTTCAGCCAAACCCAGCAGACCTCTGGAACAGAAGCAGCGGTCTGAATGCTGGCTGTGCAGAGTGGAGATGGTTCCTAATTCCAGCTCCCCAACCCTCATCTGAATTCAAATACTACATACCTGCTGCAGTTCATATTTGCTTTGGAAAAACTAATAAGCAGTCAATATTTATACTTTTAAAAATTAAGACCAAGTTTTGCAGCTGATTTTAAAATTCTTGGCAGTTAAATTAATTTTCTTAAATTTTTTATTTTCTTTCCAAGCTAATATATGGAATGTTAATGGTCAGTAATTCTGAGGTATTGGAGACATCCTGGAGAGATGCTGGGTGGGGTAGAGATGGTGCTTTTGTAGCAAGCTTTCAGAGTAAAGAATGGTATTTGCTTGCTTGCTTGGGTGGGGGGGGAAATAAAAATTTGGTTTGAAATAGGGTGCTAAAAACAATAGTTTCTAAAAAGTAATAACAGATTTTTTTTTTTTTTAAAAGGATTTTGTCTCAAAGCGCTGGGTTACAGCCTGACTTGAGTTTCTTCAGGGTGACACAAGTAAACAGAAACTCTAAACTCTTGAAAACTAAAATCAAATGTATTCAAAATCATGAGATTACATAGTATATGGACAGGTATTTCTTATGGAGAGAGCATATCTTCAAAAATCACAAAGCTGAATGAGGTAGACTTTCCTTTCTTTACACAGTCATTTCTAAATCCATGAACCTTTAATAAATTGGATGGTTACGAAGAACATTTGGAATTATCAATTAATGACATTTTCACTGGGACTAACTGGTAATTATATTGCTTTCTGATTCACTTTCAGAAACTTCATTCTCTGTAGTCCCAGATTTTCACTGCTCTAGCAGTAGGTGCTTCCTCCCCACCCCAACCAAAGAAATGCCTGTTTGGGGATTCAATGTACACAAGTCATAAGCTGTTCTTGGGCATTTACATTTCTTCTGTGGATGTAGAGTGGTTATTTTAGTTCCTTGTAATTCAAAGAAAATTAATATGGTGGTTTAAATTATCCTGAAAACTGCTTTTATATTTTAACAGTTTTTTTAACAGATAATTTAACTGTAAGAGGTGAATGGTTTATGTTGCCTATTCGTCAGTTTATCACCTCTGTAGACTTCACTGAAAATGAGTAATATGCTTGAGGCTGATGTGATATTCAGTCATTCTCCTAATAACTTAATAAACTGCACTGAAAACTGTATCTGCAAAGCATTGGGTATAACTAAGTTCGATTACTTAATCGCTGATTTTGACAAGATTCAGAAGTCAGCAGAAATAGATGTCTGATTATCAAACATGTACTGTATGAGCTGGAGTTTTATATTTTTCTGGTGTGTGGAAAAAATTCCAGAAGATGGTTTTTTTTAGAAGTCAGCAGCACAAGGTACTTTCGGCATATTTCTCAACAGCGTCTTTTCACAGTTCTTTCTCTTTAGTATGCAAGGCCAGTTAGTGCCATCTGTCACATGCTTGTCATATATAGGCCATGAAACAAGGGAATTGCACTCTTAAGAGTGGAAAATGAAGAAATCTTCC